GAGAATATCCTTTCATTGCTACGGATTTTTTCGTATTTACCTGTTTAGGTTCTAAGTTGATGACTACAAGAATGATGCCATTACGAAAAGCGTTGGCAAGATATTCCGTAGAAGGACCACCTCGAGTAATTTGAACAGAACTACCAGCCATTAGGCATCTGAAGAGGTGTTGGATGGGTATTTAGAGGTTTACAAATTCAGAGCGCGTTCGACTGTCGCAGCAGATTCCTAACCAAAGCGCTTCGTTTGACCTTCTTTAGACACCCCGTTAAGTCTGAGAAGGGAGGAGTGTCTGGCCCAAAAACACACAGAGTCACCACCATTCTTAACTGCGAAGGGGTCTTAAAACTATTTAACGCGCCGCGCCCGCACGGTAGAAGCGAAGAGGTCAGCGAGGATTCGACTATCGAAAGTAAAGTTATTCATGAAGTTAAACTGGAAAAGCCAGAGGAAATGTCCAGGAGCATTGATTTACATAGGTCGACGAAAGACTGCAAATTCCGCACTCCAAGATCTCTCTTAACATCTAGCCGCGCATTTGTGAAACAGGAGGCAAGAGCCATCAGAATGTTCTCACACTTTAACTGCGTGTATATAATAAGAAGATCGGAAGCCCTGTCACCAGAAGAAAACCAAGCGAGAAAAATCCAAGCTCTCGAGTGCTAACGCTCAGTAACGTTCGGGATAGACAGCTGCTACCTAACAGAATATACCCTAAGTGGTACACGACTTATTTCTATTGTTTCGTCCCCATAATATATATATATACAGAGGCCCTCTAGCCTGTAACTGCACCTAATAAATATTTAAGTTACTGCTTGACCAACAAGTGAGTGCAACGCAGGATTTCAAAACACTGTGCCAGCAGACTAATACCGTGCGAGAACAGTAACCGCTGTACAAGTCTGCGTATACGAGCTTTCCTCAGCTGCCCGCACCTTGATTTTAGCACGTGCGAACTAACAGTAGACTGTACACGTAGTTAGCAACTTAGTATCTAGGCCTGATACGACTTAACACTAGGCAAGAGGCTCGGAAGCGGGGGTGCTCGGACCAGTACTGTCACGCACTTCAATGGAATTCCGCAATCAACAGGCCGGGAAATCAATCACCCCATCCCGAGTTCAACACATAACAAAAAGGACCGTTAGTTCTAATTACATGCCCCTCAAACAGGGGGACACCTTGCCGGATATACACAAATCTCTAATATAGAATACCCCTGAGAAGGACAGCAGAAACATTGATGGACTTACGGGAGCTTAACGAGATGGCAAGATGACGAGGCCCGGGTGTAAAGTAAAGCCGCGAGAACAAGGTGGTTTTGCCTGCGAGCCGTTGCAAGCTTCCGAGATCCACAGTATCCTGAGTCAGGATGAATGACGCTCTTAAGCCCTTCATCTTGAGCTTCTAATCTCCGGAAGGACGAACGTTAAAGAAAGGGAGTACAGCCAGAAAGGTAGACCAACCAACCGACGCACAAGGAGGGCGGAAGACGACTTTCTAGAAGGTTTAGTGCCTTGTGCACCATAACCTGGCCTGCACGCCAATCACTGAAGTATGAGGAATAGGGTGAACTCCAAGAATTATTATGCCACGAGTGGCCAATAAACCAGTTGTGTGATACACATAGGCACCAGCCTTCCAGCCGAGGGGGAGGGTGTAATATACAAAATATCCTTGATTCACAAATTTAGAAAGCGTCTGTCGTTGCGCACTTGCGATTCTAAAGGCTCAACAGTTATGAGCATGACGAGATAAGGGGGTTGAGCCTCTCAAACCTTGCCCCAAAGTGCGCACAAGCCATTATGGAATGTATAATTATTTGCTTACAGTATACTACTACCCGCCAAAGATTCATATGGTAACTTTCGCGTGAAGGTATTTCTATTTAAGCTGAAATACCACTGCTCAAAGCCAATCAAATTGCAGAAATGTCTCATGTTGTAGTATAGGGGAAGTAAATTCCTCAAATTCCGATCAGGGGGAAACGGTGCAAGGTACATTCCCCCTCGAATCTGCCTTGAAAGGCAATCTTCACGGACTTAATCTCGTAAAAAACACTTAGGCTCTTAAAGGGGAAGAACGTTTTCCGAAATGACCTCCCATTGAGCTAAACTGTTGGTAAGATCTCTGGATACAATAAAAGGAAGACGGGTACCCGAAGACAGGAATACGGCTGAATGAGCATACCATTTGGCCTGATCAGGCGAGGGAGCTAGGCCGACAAAACTGGTGGGCTTGCCCTCCCCCACTTGTGCTACTTAAGATGACCAGTAAATTGCAAGAAATGCCCCAAAAAGTGTCCAAACAGGTGATTCACGGACATAAAAATAACGGAAAACTAAGAGGGAGACCGAGGGAAGCCCACCAGCATTGCCGGCCTTAAGCAACCTCAAAGAGGCATAAAAGGCATTAGACACCCGCACCCAAGGCACGGCAATACTAGTACGCACGGGAAGACGAACAACTTCGAGAAAAAGGAAACAAGAGAAAAAATAAAGCAGCTTCTTTAATGGCAACAAGACGACATCTCATGATTAAAATGAAGTACTAAAGATTTTGATTCCACGAGTTGACAACAGTTAAAACCGGCATTATGACGCCTCTACGCCTATCAAGCAATTGCGTTTAAAGAAAAGGTACGAAAACATCCCAAAAGTAGGGGGTACATAAATAAGCCGAGCGGTAAGTAAAAGGGCACACAACACTGATAAAACTTGAGGGAATTAAGAAAAGAAAAAATTTGCAAACTAAGCTGACACCGACTAGCTGATAACGAAATAACCAGCGATCAGGCGGTCCTGCTCCCCTTTGTCTGACTTTTTGGTAGACGAAGAAGCGGGGCGGCAAATAAAAAGAACATACCAGATCCGCTAAGCCTAGCTAAGGCCACCTAGATTAAGCCATGTTAGACGGGGTTAGGAACTGGATGGGTGACCATACGGGAACAAAGTAGCCGCTTTTTTCCCTTCCATTTCTTCTTCTTTCCAGTCCAATTTCAACCCTATGTACGTAGGGCGAAACGCACATGGCATTAGGTTAACCGACGGATGAAAAACAAAGGGCCAATAAGAGTTCAAACTAAAAACCAAGTAGAGGAGGCTGTCCGAGTGCAAACACCGGTCTAGGCCTAGAACGGAAACCAGCCAAGGCGACAGTTGTCCATAGAGAGTGACCAATGAAAAGATCACAAATTCTGGACGAAAGCCCGACAGTCCAAAATTTGAAAAACACTACAAATAGGGAACAACCCGGATAAAACGAACCAACCAAACTTGAAGCAATATATAAGATTTATCCAGACATGAAAGCAGCAGAAGACAATTCCACTCGGCCACAACCGAGTAAAAAATAAATAAATAAAATAATAATAGTAATAATAATAATAATAATAATGATAATAATAATAATAATAATAAAATAAATTACGATAGAAAACCGAAAACGAGATTACACAGCCACTGACAACCGAACACTGTGAAAAGAGAGTTTCATCGTCCACCAAGAATAGTTTGTACTCAAAACAAAAGAGTACAGTAACAACGGAAATTTATCCCAGGAGTCCCACCAGAAAAAATAAAGTGAATTCACTAGGTCAAACTGACTATAACGAGAAAAGAAAAACAGAAAGTATGGAACTCCGTAGGTAAAGAAATACGATAGAACCACGCCTGTGGACTGGATTTCCTCGGCGACAACCGAGTACAAAATTTTAATTGAAATTCAGTTAAAAAGGAAAAACGGGTCCTAAATTGAGGATGTGAGACAACTCCTGCACGACACAACTGAGACAAATACGGCAAGAAAATAAATCGCTCAATTTAGAGAGACACACGAAAGCCAAACCTGAGAAGTAGAATAATTATTCTCGGCGACTACCAAGTGAATGAAAGGCCTCAACCGCTCGAGAAACTCAAGACAGCATATTTTTTAGCCGGCCCCAACCGACAAAAATACCGACATAAGAAGTTATTCTCGGCCACATCCAAGTGAAAACTTCAAGACAGCATTTTATATATTTTAAAGCTGGCCCCAACCGACTAAAAGAAGGACATAAGAAATTGTCCTCGGCCACAACCGAGTGAATAAACGGCCACCAACCGCACAAGAACTAAACTTCAAGATAGCATATTTTAAAGCCGGTCCCAATCGACAAAAATATCGGCATAAGAAATATTCTCGGCCACATCCAAGTGAATGAATTTATAAGTGTGAACTCTTGATGAACGAGCGCTTTCATCGAAGCGTGACTAGCCAAGCAGAGAAATAAAATTCAGTAAAACGGCTGCCAACTGCACAACTTCAAGACAGCATGTTTTAAAGCCGGCCCCAACCGACAAAAATACCGACACGGGAAAAACGACTAAGGCAACAGGAGAGACGAGTAAACGTGGTGGAAGCAAACTAGGGGGACAAGAAATTAATTTACCTCGTGCGGAGAAGCAACAACATCGGGAAAAAACAGCGCTATTAGACAGCCGGAGAAGGAACAGCGGCAGGTAGCGTCCTGAAGATGTAAGCAGGCAAAACCACGGCCATCAGAATAGGTTGTCCTCGGCAAAGATAAGGACTAGCAGGAAAAACAATCCTTCCGCCCTTGCAGCCAAACTGGACAAATTTGCTTACACACGTGTTTATTTATATAGAGAAAGTCACTCCCGAGGGAGAAACGCACACACACTCCTGAAATAGATCTCTCGCTACTAATTCGTCAGAGTTAAGGCCAGTGTTACACTAGCGAGCACTGGGAATAGCAAAATTGCTCTCCGCGTCTTCCCCCATTTTGTTCTGCGTCATTTCGTGAAGGACGCGTGGCTCTCAGCGTGGGCCATCCACGCGGAACACAGTCGCGCTATGTGATTGGCTGTTGTCTAATCCCCCTTGAGATCTGTGGTGTTAAAAATAACTCGAGACGAATTACCTGTGGAATAGGGTGTATATGGGGGATGCCCTTTCTGTCCCCTTTATAGTCTCTTACTCCCAACGTACCGCTTGGAATGTTTGACATGCGGGATAGCTATCGTAAGGCGATGCAAAGCGGACGCAGCAAGCCGATTAAGCTTAAATTTACACCAAAGAAAAGTGTGGCAAATGGTCTGCTATCGATAAACGTTGACGCCTTTCGCACTTCAAATCAATTTACTTCCAGTACAAGTGTTTGGAATTCGTCTTCCGAGGCTTCCGTCTCTCCAGCGGAGCTTTGTAACCCTGCCTTCGAGGAGGAAGATCAAACCGATATCTGCCCTATTGATCAAGCGATACCAGTAAGAGATTCTAACGATAACATCTCCTCAGAATCAACTAATTCTATGTATAAAAGTTCCTCAAAAGGATCTGTGCATAGCGACCAAGCCTATGTTCGATTTTAGGATTCCAAAACCAAGGGAAAGAATGGCGAGTCCAAAACCGTTGCTAACCTTGGTTCTGCCTTGGATAGGAAAAGGTCATTATCGGAGATATTTCTACGTACGACCAGTGCAAAAGACAGTCTGAAAAGAAAACTGCGGTCGTCATTTTCTTAGAAATACTTCACGTATAGTGAAGAAAAAGTTAACGTTGATTATGCTAGTATGTGACTCTTTCGAAGAATTGAGGTTTTGCAGATTTTATGCTAATGAAAAACAACAAAAAAAGACTGACAGCGGCTACGTACGAGCAAAATATCGAGGCCCCCTTTTGGATCTTTGAGATCTTTCGCCGCAGAATTCATCAGCTATAATCCCTCAGTACGTACGGTTAACATTTTATCTTCAGCTAATGTTTGAGTCACCACACTATATTTGTCTGGACTTCAGCGAATAAGAAGGCCAGACATAGCAAATGTGAAAAGTAGACTGCAGTTTGACTTATTTGCTCTGCTTAATATACCTATTTATCTTTAGCAAAGTGACGTCATTCTTAACTGTAGCTATTGAAAGTCCTTAAGTATGAAGCCAATGAAATGCTTTGCTAAATAGCTCTAAAACACCTTAACAGTGTAGGTGGACTATGATAATCACTGTGATAAAACGGAAGCTCTGATTGGCTTTCGTTTTCGAGCTAAGACAGTTTAATTTAGGGTCGAATAATCATTTAACCCTATTCATACCGTAGGGCTTTTGAGCTGCTATTGTTAAAGATAATTCATGTGTTAGCCAACTTCCTGATTTTGTCACACACCTTACCATGTAAGTATTTTTGAATTTGCTGAAAGTCTACTTTAAGGGAAATGTGGATTCTACCAAGAAATTTAGCAATATGACGTCATAATGAATCAATCAAGTTATACCTAGAAGTTGGAAATTATTTTAGTACATTCCTTGTGTAATTTTGGTGGCCATAGCATGATTAGTTTTGAAGCAAAAAGGCCCAGTTAGTGAATAACGTTAAGGTAAGCCTATTTTATTCAGACTTTCAGCTAATAATTCCGATGAGTAGTGGCTTTGTACGTATTAGGCACCTAGACACTCTTTATGTTTATTGTCTTATCATTCCATTAGTTCCGTATTATTATCACTATTAATATTAATATTATTATTATTATTTAATTGACCTTTAATACTGGGAAGCGAAGCAATGTACAAAGAATAAAGAATAAACGACTTCCATTACGTATACGAGTATGACAGTTAATATGTCAAAGAAGTTGTTAGCTCCATTCTATTGCTGACCAATGAACAGATGTTCACCAAAAACGTTCTTTGACAAGGAAGAACTTTTCACGGAAAACGTACTTGTGTAAATATGAAAACCCTTCATAAACCCTTGTAACTTCCAAAAGCTTCTTGCAACGTATTGAGACATCAAAAAAAAGTGAAAAAACAAAATTTAAACTCTTACACTGTTTATGAGCAACAAACCCATAACTGAACAGCTGATGAGTGAAATGTCTTATCATTCACACTACATCCTGTTTTTCAAACAAAATTTTCTGAGGTTTTCTTCTCTGTACCACCAGCTTCATTAGAGCAAACAGAGATAAAAAGCAGGTCAACATCATTCAGCCTCCTGTTCGATAATTGCTTCCTTAGTTCAAAATATCAAGCACCATGGTCACTACCCTGGGTTCCAATAGTTATTTTTTTCTTTTTTAATTCCTAACAGTTCGCGCGACAGAGAGCCGCAAAGCGCCAAGAGAAAAAGAGAGAGAGCTTTATGAACCGTTAAAAGCACACAGTAATTTTCAAGGAGTTAATATATAGATTTAGCCAGGGCTAAAAGCGAAGCTCCCATTAATAAATTTGTAATTTCAATCAAACAATAAACTTGTATTCTGCAAATCAGTTCACTTTAGAGCACATTCATGTGACTTTTGTTTTGAGGGATTAAAGCTAAGTGATTTGAGAGAACTTTGATAATTTGCTAACAGTCCAAGAGTGCACCAAACCTTACATCGAGTTGACGGCCCTTATATGTACACCCAAAAACGTCCATAAAGGCTCTTGATCACAGTAGATTAGGCCTGGAAAACAAATACTTGGAAAGCAAATCCGGCAGAATTTTTTCCGTTTGACAAGTTTGCTTTACAAAATCTTGCTAACAAATCTGGGGGCGTGTAAACCAACCTTTTATACTTTTTGTACATCACATCTGACAGTCTGAGGTGAAACAGTACTACGAGGCGCTGTTTTTATCATACAGACCTCAGACAGAATTCAGTATTTCACAGTTTTGAAATATAAATTGCAATCATTCAATATTCAGGACGATCGAAGCACGCGTGGGCTTTTAGCGAAACCGCTAAAAAAAGTTCCAAAATCACCTATCAGTAACGGCCGGCCAGTTGCAAGCTGTGGAGTGTTTGAATGAACATTAAGAGAGTTACACTTCAACATAATAAAGAATTTATTGTGTGTTTTTTTTATTATTATTACTTAATGGTTTTATAACGATGTGTAAACTTAACAAGCGTTTAATACGCGCGACGTTTTGAGTACTCCTGCAACTGAAAACATTAACGGCAAATTGCAAGAGAGAATACTAACAATCAATAAAAGAAATATAATTCGGTGAAACATTTACAGAGACAACAATTTTCATTCACGAAGACAATTAAGTATTAAAGTGTCTCTAAGAATCCTGAGTCTTTATGCTTAAAGCCAAAGTTTATGTTTTAAAGCCGGCTTCCCGGTGTTTGCTGTTTTCAAATATGAACTCGAGGCGAGAAAATTGCGCAAAGCTTTCTTTCTACAGCCAAACTAAAAACGCAACGTTTTTTTCTTTCTATTTGCGTTGAGAAAATATCGACTAAAGACTTTTTAAAGTTCTGCAAGCTTAAATCAAACCTCATACTATAGGTCAGATCATTATCTCAAATCTTACTTCAAACATGCATAAACTATAGCCTCATAAACTGCGCTCGGCTTCATGAAATTAGATATATGAAAAAAACAAACACAAATACAATAATTACTCAGGCAGCTCCTGGAAGCTACATCGCTTCAGACTTTTCAATCAAGCAAGGTGAAAAACGAAAACGAGTCGATGCTATCCGAAATCGGATTTCCGACTTTGACAGGCGAAGTATCAGTTCTCAACCAAAAACCCAATAGACAAACTAGCCATGAATAACAGAAGATTCTTGATAGTAGCTGAATTTCATTTCGTACATCCAGTAGAAAAAGACATTTAAAAACATCTCAAGTTGACACAAAACTCTGTCAGCTTCAGCTGTCACAGTAAACAAGTTTCAAGATGCTGCATAAATTTTCCGCATAAACTCTCCTGTCAAATTTTGCCAATCAGAGCATAAAATTGACGTAGAGCGTGACTAACGCGTTCACGGACGACTGAAAACAACAACTGGCAAAGCGATCATTTAAGAACGAGATCTTGACAAACAATCACGACAAGAAATATAATACGAAAAAACATTTAAAGGTCAACAATTTTTATTCCCGAAGACGTGTTTTGAGAGTAAAACTGAGTTTTAAGTTTTAAGCCGCCTTCGCCGTGTTTGCTATTTTGCACGATGAACTCCAGGCAAGAATATCGCTCAAAGTTTTCTTTTTACAAACAATAGGATAACTAAACTATTTTTCAGAACTTTTTCTTCTAGTCGCCGTCAGAAAATGTCTAAAGACTTTTTAAGTTCTTTACTAGGTCAGATAAATTGATTCAAACCTTACAAATGTGCGTAAAATGACGGCATAAACATGAAAAAAGAAAACACATAAAATGCAATAAAATTACTCAAGCTTACCGGTCGAGATGCAGCACGGAAACCCATCAAGTAAGGCCAGAATCGCTTAAGATTTTTCGCATGGTCCAGCAAGGCGAAGTAAGCTTACTAAGCTTATTTCTTTTTCTCGTGCGGCGCATTTCTCAACCACAACCCAGTAAACAAGCCAGCCAAGAATAACAAAAGAATGTTGATAGCTGCTGTATTTCATTTTGTAGATCCAGTGCAAAAAGACAGGTAAAAACATCAAAAGATGACTCAAAACTCTGTCAGCTTCAGCTATCAGTGAACAAGTCACAGATGCTGCATAAATTTTCCACTTGAATCCTCTTCGCCTGTTAATTCTTACTCTATGCCTTTCTCTTCTTCTCTTTCCCGTCGCTTTTCACTTACAAGCAAATAGTTTGAATCCAATCCGCTATTGTTTGTTGCCATAACAATTTCTTCGAAACAGTTTACTAGAAACTGAGCTCTCCGGACACAAAATCCTTATGCAATGAAGTAGTTCCGTTGAAGTAAACATGTTTTTGAAGGCGACTACAGCAACGTCATTTCTTGCGCGATTTCCCGCCAAGAAACAGGTGGGTTGCACAAATGCATCGCGCGATTTATAACATGCTCCTCCCCCGGACGGGCTGACACCTGATTCCCTTCCCTCCCCCGCAAAGAGTGTACGGGCGTACGCTACGTCATAACCAAATTTTCTGGGATGGATGGTTTACCAAATTTTATTACCCATGGTACTACGCTGGCGCGCTTCGCGCTGGAGCTCCGCTATAATAACTCCACTAGTGGGGTTAATTTAACCCCTTACAGTGGAGTTATTTTTTGGAGAGTTATTTTAACTCCAAAAAGGAGATAAAGAACCCTTTTTCAGGAGTAAAAATGACCCCAGATATTGACCAGTTAAAACAACCCCAAAAAAGGAGTTATCCTGTACCCAAAATTTTTACTCCACTTTCAGAGTTAAATTAATTCCAAAAAGAGTAAAAACAACCCATATAAGGAGTAAAAATAATCCCATTTCCGGAGATATTTTAACTCTAGACTAGGAGTAAAAAGAACTCTTTTTTCAGGAGTAAAAATTACCCCAAATTTGGAGTTAAATCAGGAGTTAAAGTAACCCCAAAAAGGGGTTATCCTGTAACTAAAATTTTTACTCCATTTTTGGAGTTATAATAAATCCCTAAAAATTACGGTGCACGGTTTATTTCATCCTAGGTATTTTGAGAACGGACCTCTGGAACGGCCAGAGTATATACTCACCGACCTGAAGGGTACTAAACTCAGAAGAATTTGAAAGTCGTGAAGGCCGATTGCTTCACTCATAGGG